CTGCAGGTGTTTACTGAAAGCCTCCCCCAGTGTTTGGGAAAAAGGCAGGATGAAGGAGGCTTATCAAGAATTTCACAGATTTATTTGAAGGCTAGGTTGGATTTAGGAAGAAAACACTAGGAACAGGACAACAGTACACAGATGCAAAAAGTGTTGTTTTGACTTCCTATTTATATTTTCATCCAAGGAGCAAAGCAAGACCATCTTACAGCATCATGAACATCAAGGAAACCATCAGATGTATCAAGGAATCTCACACCAGTTTCTTTTGCAAACAACCAAACTAAACTGTTCATGTCCCTGTGTTTCTGCAAGTCTTCCCTGGAGCGTAGAGTCAAGAAATACCATGTGCCCACAGTAATTGCATTAGCCTTGCATGCCTACAAATATTTTTATTTGGGATTTCATTCTCAACAAGTCACTGCTCGCATTCCTACAAGAATAGCAAATTTTATTTTTAAATTTTTTTTTACATTCTGTCTACACTGACAGGTTTGCAACTTGATTTTCTGGCTCCACGTAAATGGAACATTATTTTAGCATCAGGCTATTACATAATAATTTCTCCTCTTCTTTTTTTTAAGCTCTATTAACTGACATTCTTGAATTTGTAGAACAATTTTGAAGAAACCAAGGAACTAAGAAAAGAGTTGGTGGTATAATGCTATTTTCTATTCATAACAAAACAAAAAGAGTACGTGTACCCATGGTTCAAATTCTCAGAAGAATTTGGAGCTGTGACTGAACCAAGATTACTGTGCTTGAATTTCACATGCCATTAATTCAACTAGCTCAGGTCTAAGAAACAGCATTAAGCCACTCTTCATTGATATAATATAAAAAGCACAGACCACCAACTCTTTCTCAAAAAAATTACTAGTCATACATCAGCGAAATGTAGTAACACTAAAATGTACAAAGACCTATGTAAACCATGCTGCATGCATTTTAATTGAAAAAGAAAGGGCAAATCAGAGAAGCAACATGTCTCTGAGAAAGCAGCACCCAAAGTCCTTATGGTTTTCCATGAGGAACATTAAAATCATGTGCATATGATTTATCAAAAAGCCTCTGTGTTGATGAACAAACTTAAGAGTTACTACTATAGGCTCACACCTGGAGCTCACCTGAAAAAAAGCAACCAACCCACCAGCTAAGATCCATAGTAGCTGAACTTTGACTTGCAGTGTTTAATGTAAAACACACTCAAGCATTAGCTGTTAACAGCCCAACTGTGTAATCTCACAGCTACAACACAGAACAAAGCATACAATCCAGTTCCTTCACCAGCAGTTTGAGTCCAGACAACCAAATTAATGTTCAAAAGGATCAATCCATTTTCTTTATTTACAGCCATACTGGAATGGATGAAAATGACACGGATATAAATATTAACAATCTGCAGACCATTTTCAGTTCCACCTGCATCTCACCACTCCGACCACAGTAGCACTACTGGGATAACAGGGTTAGATAAGGAAGGCAAAATGCAGAGTAGAATGTGTTTTGAGGATTTTCCATTAATCTCTGACTCTCCATATACATCCACAAGTGGTCAAATTTGCCTACCATCCCAAGGGCAGAGCACAATTAAGAGACACCAATAGCTTGGAAGTCCCAACTTCACCTCGTGGCCTATGTCTTGGCATGGGTGCCTTTGCCATCTCTCAGTCCAGCTGTGGCACTAACAGATGTTTGTGATATACCATAAAGGCATCAGGGGCTCAGAAAACCCAACAGCCACCAAGCATCAAATTGTACTCCTTCAACAACACAGGCTAAAAGATAGAAAAGATGACCAACACCTCATCCTGAGTCCCTCCCAAACTCCCACACTCACTCCCCACCTCAAACATAACAAAATAAATTCTACTTTCTCTCCTTTGTCTACAACAAAGTTTCATAGGATATGAAACTGAGCCTCTTATATGAAAATCTACTCAGCTTACTGGAAGAGGACCCAGAACAGATATTGGCCATGCTGTTTGTTACACAAGAAGACACCACCACAGCAGTGGCAGGACAGCTACATGGAACAAAATTTAATCCTAAATAATAGCTACAAACCCCGTAATAAAACTTCCATTATGTAACACAGCTCTGAAGAGCCAGCTGTGATGATGAGCAGCCTTTACGCCCAAACTGCAGAAGGGAGCTGAGCATTGGCTGCAGAAGCAGGACGTGTATTCCAACTGTCTTCTGATAGCTGCACTTATCCACACTCCTTCAGGCTAAAATCTGTCCATCTCCTCCTACAGGTACACTCCAGCAAGCCTCTGAGCACTGAATTTTGAAAATTCAACTAGACTAGTTTCTCTCAGAGGAGGTGAGCACATAATAATTTCCCCCTTAGCCAGCCCCATCAAAAGCAGTAAAGCTTCAGGAGGCACAAGTCAATACGTGCTTTTCTGGTAGGTTTCATGCTCTTTAGCTCTCTGTGTTGAAAAGTCCTTTACTCCACTAATAACTCCTTGCAGAATAAGGGCAACCAAAAGTCAGTAACACTACTGGAATCCAACTCAAACCAATGAGTTACTTTCCTTACAGTTCCTTAAAAGCTTAGAAATTAAAATTGGCTGTATTTTAAAGATCAGTTTGAGCTCTTTTTCCATACAGGAGGTGAATCCTGAATTTTCAGCCGATTCTAGTCACCAATTTCTCCCCTATTTTAAAGTGCATTACTTAGTTCTTATTTCTGCTTTCCAAGAAGTGCTTGTAGCTAGAAATCAGATGTACAGGGAGGGAAAACTACAATGAATAATCAAATGGAGCAGTTGCCTTTCAAGAAGGGTTTAAAAGGTTTGGGAGCCTTCAACTTGGAAAACAGATGCCTGGGTGATGAGGAAAAGCAAGGTTGAATGCACAGCTAAATGAGGCTAAGTACAGAACTATTATTTGCCAAGCCCTTTAACAATAGTTTCAATGAGTGTTCCTTATCCTAGCAGGAAATTCATTTAAGAAGTACTTTTTTACACAGCACACAGACAAAATCTGAAATCTGTTGCTGCAGGAAACTGCAGAGGATGACAGATTCAAAAGGAACTAGACAAATCCATGGAAGGCAGATCCAAACCAGTAATTAAACCAAATAAAATGGGAGCTCCACCCTAATATCTCTGATCCACGTGGTCCATATGTTGGGGAGGCATGAGAGGAATGGACCTCAGACAGTGGGCAGTCTTGTGGGCCTTCCTGGCACAGCACCTGCCACCATCCAAGACAGAGTACAGACACAGACAGACACCTGTCTCACCCATCTGATTACTTTCAGTCTTGCAGACACTCATATTTCAGAATATACAATTACCAAGAGCTCAATTAATAAATGGTGTGAACAGAACAATATTTTGGTCTGTAACTGAAGGTGAACGAGGCAAAAGCTTTAATTAAGGTGCAAGAAGAAACATCCTTATAAAGGAAGACAACAGAATCCTTTTTTTAAAGTCCTCAAATAAATACTTGCATTCTTTCAGCAGAATAAATTCAGGACACTAAAGAGATTTTCAATCTTGCTAATCTTGACAAAGGTTTTTGAAATAAAACCAGCATGGCAGCAATATAACTTTTTTCCTATTTCATATTAAATAAATGAAATATTCATCATTCTGTATAATCACCACTTAATTGAGTTTTAACCACTACCACATATCTGGGGGCAAGCATGAAATATTAATTACCTAAAACCTACACAAGATCTATAAAACATTTCAGACACATGATCTCTGACCTTACAGAGTTTAAGAAGCAAACCAATCAATCCATCAAAACACCTTCTCCAAGTTCATACATGGAAAAGTTATGCAGTATTCAATACTCCATTAAATATTCAGACTTCCTCTGTATAGCTGCAGCCAAAGAATGCAAATCCCCTGATTCTGCAGATTTATAAAACCATAAACAACCACTAAGATCATCTTATGCCTGCAAGACACAGACCATACAATCAAACACAAAACCATGACAAGTAGGAAGAGCACCTCCTCTCACCCCTGCAAATGCCCCACTGAACTTTATGGCCTGAGAGCTGGCTAAATGAGGATTCAGAAAGGTGTTCCATTTTGACCAACACCTCCCAAAGAGCAAGCATGGATGGGTCTGTATGGTAGTTTACTGAGGGTGCTTTTCCTGAAAGCATCATGAAAAAATGTGCTGAGTTTGGATGGGGTAGAGTTAATTTTCTTCACAGGAGCTAGTTTGGATTTGTGTTGGAAACAGTGTTGATACCATAGGGATGTTTTAGTTATTGCTGAGCTGTGCTTACACTGCCTCAAATGGCCTTTTCTGCTTCTTGGACCACCATGCCTGTGAAGAAGGCTGAGGATGCACAAAAAGTTGGGAAGATACAGTCAAGACTGTCTAAAGGGATATTCCATGTCATACAGAGTCATGATGAGCATATAAAGCTGGGGGAAGAAGGAGAGGGGGATGTTCAGAGTGATGACGGTTATCTTCCCACATAACCACTGTGTGTGATGGAGCCCTGACTTCCTGGGGATGGCTGAACACCTGCCAGCCCACAGGAAGCTGTGAATGTAGTCCTCATTTTGCTCTGTTTGTGTGCACAACCTTTGGTTCAACAGCTTTTACCTCAACCCATGCTTTTTTCTGACTTCTACCACTGATTCCCTTCCCCATTCCACTGGGTGAGAGTGAGGAAGAGACTGTGTGGTGCCTTGTTGCTGGCTGGAGTTAAACCACAGCCAGTTTTGGTTAGCAGCCTGGGGTTTGAACATTTGGAGATAGCAACAGGTTAGACTGAAAGGGGCTAGATGGAATTCTAGATAAAATTATTGCTGTTGGGCCATTAATCAGCAGGACCCTGTGCCTGCACGACTTGCTTGCCTTACTGTATGCCAGGGTCTGGTGCTCATTACTGGCTGCTCCTTGCTCTCACTGCTTCCTGTACTGCTGCGCTCTTATCATCTCACCCTGCTGTGCCTGGAACATCCTGATAACAGCCGTGGTCATGCGCCTGGGCTGGCAGATGACCAGAGCATCGCTGCTGTGCTGGACAGGCTGGAATTCCAGTGTGACCCCAGTCAAAGGGATTGTCACCTGTGGATGAGTCCACACCGGAGCAGAACTCTCCAGAGCACCTGTGGTTGCAGATAAGCCCATGCCAGAGCAGGTACTGGGCTGTGCTTATGTCTGGGCTGCAGCAGGTGTACCTCCACAGGGATTGTGGCCAGCGGATAAAAGGCCATGCTGGAACTGGCACATCTCAAAGCAACTTTGCCCATGTCCATGCTACAGCACGTACACCCTGGCTCATAGATAAGGCTCCACTTGGAGCAAGTACAACCCTAAGGAATTGCAGTCTGTGGATAAATCCAAGCTGCAGCAGGTCAAGTTCATTGCACTATTAAACCCAAGGTCTGGTCCAAAGTGACCAGAATTATGTTATGGGAATTACAACAGCAGAAACCCCCGGAACCAACAGAGGACAAACCTTACAAGAAGCAGTGCAAATGCAGCAGTGACCTGAGCTGGTTGTGGTGCCCAGTAATTCCATGCAAGTAACTTCACACCATCTCTCCTGTCCTGAGTGCTCCCTATAAGAGATGGAACCCCTTAGCCATGGACTAAATGAACCCAAAGTTCACTGATTAATGGAATGGTATCTACATATAATACCAAAGGATGTGAGTGAAGGGTGGTGGGGGTTAATGAGAATGTATTGGATAGTGTGGGACCTAAGCATGATGTAAATGGGATAGAATCAGCAGTACAGAATGCATACTGGTTTTGGCTGGGGTAGTGTTAATTTGATTCACAGTAGCTGCTATGGGTCTGTGTTTGGGATTTGGGCTGAAAACACTGTTGATAAGGCAGGAATGTTTCAGTTACTGCTGAGCAGTGCTTGCACGGAGCCAAGGCCCTCTCTGTGCCTCACACTGCCTCAGCAGGGAGGACACTGGGGATGCACAAGAAGCTGGGAGAGGACAGAGCCAGAACAGCTGTCTTCAAGTGACCAAAGGCATATTCCATACTATATTGTGTCATGCTCAGAGTATCCCTTCTGTGGGAAGAAGGACAAAGGGAAGATATTCAGAGTGATGGCATTTGTCTTCCCAAGTAACTGTTATGTGTGATGGAGCCTGGGAATGGCTAAACATCTGCCTGTCTAGGGGAAGCAGTGAATAAATTCCTCACTTTGCTTTCCCCATTAAGCTGTCTTTATCCCAACCCAGGAGTTTACCAGCTTTGACCTTCCTGATTCTCTTCCCCACCCCACCAGGAGAGGGTGAGCAAGTAGCTGTGTGGTGTTCAGCTGCCAGCTAGGGCTGAACCATGGCATGAAACACAAAACACTTTTTGTGGCTTTCAGACAAATAAAAACCTCTGGAAGATATTTCTCATTTATAACATTTTCTGACAAACTTAGGCAAACATCTGGAAAACCATGGTGAATCCATAATTTCTAGATAACATTGTGATAACATTTCTAGACAACTTTGCTTGGAGTTACAATTCATTTCAAGACAAATCTCAGATCAAAACTGCATGGATTTAAATAGAATTTACTTATTCATTGCAAAATTGTGTACCCAGGTTCCAGAATCAAGGTGCAGGAGGAACAGGATAGTCCATCTCTGGCAAATAATGGATGAAAGTTTAACACTACACAATGGCAATGTCTAAGGCTCCTTAAGGTACAATGCCAACTGCATCACAAGTCAAGCACCGCCCAAGGCTTTTCAGGCCAAGAGGAACATAGATGTGATCAAGGCCATTAAACAAAGCGGAAAAAAAGAATGCCAAAAGTTAATCTTTCTCAATAGAGGGAGTGAAACTGATATCCAGATCTTTTTTACTTTTTTAAAAACAAGGTTTTATTAAAGGCCTTAAGTTCACTAGCTAAAAAAACCCTCCTGACTATGAAACACTACAGACTGAAAGAGGTCTCCTAGCCCATAGTCAGAGTGAGCATTGCTTGATGTGAGAAACATGTTACATGGCAAGAGATAATTCTGTGGTACTTGGTCATGACCCTTAGTACTCAATAAAAGGATACCAGAGATCCCTCTTCCTCATCTCTGTTAATGGTGGGATCTGCTCAATTCAATCTACTGAAACCTATCTGTCTTTCCCATGGCTTTTAATCCATGGCTTTACTCCACAGCTTCCAAGACTAGCTATAAATAGAAGTTATAATTCCTTAAACTAAAAGAAGAATATGGGACAAAAATCACAAAGAGGCATGCCCATGCCTGACAGCAGAGTCAACAGCAGAACCCCACTTTCCTAAGTGACACTGCCTTTAGCCACAAGGCCATACTTTTATACTGCATCCTATATAGTAAAGTAGATCACAAAAGCACACTGGAGGGAAAAAGATCTTCAAATACACGAAGTCACGAATGAGGAAACTGAGTATTTCTGACATAAGACAAGCTCTAAAGAAGTAAGGGGGTTTTTTTCTAACAACAGTTAAAACTGAGTTCTTCTGCATCAAACAGAAAGTCATCCCCATCACCAGGATTCATAATCAACTTTGCCAACAGCCTTATCTGAGGGGCAGAGCTCTGAGGAGGTGGGGAGCTTGGGCTGTGCATCCACCCACAGATGTATTCCCTCCAGGTCAGGTTTGAGGCTTATTTGCAAGGCACACATGTAGGCAGCTTGTTTTGAGACTGCCTGATAGCAGAACAGAGAATTCTTGTGGGACACTGTAAAATCCAGCACTATTTATGCACATAAAATTGTGATCAGAGGCTCAAGATGCAGGGTTTCCTCCAAGCTTAAATCCACAGTGTGCAACAAGAAACACAGAGTGCCAATTCTACACATTGGTAGAAGAAACTGCAGGACTGATGCTGTTGATATGCATGCTTTTATTTGAAAACTCTTGATCTTTTTTCTTTTGGTTTCACTGCAGAGATCACTTGGATGGTCTTTCTTGCCAAAAGAGGGTGGCAAGTGTTAAATCAATCCTGATTTACCAGCCCTGTCACCAGCCACAGAAACACAAAATTGGACTATCCAGAAAAAATGTAAATCATTGGATTATTTAAAAATATTTAGAGAAAAAACCCCAAATAAAGCCAATTAGAGAAGCAGACAAGACAGACTTAGGAATATATAAACTCAAAACTTAACATAGCACACATCCAGTTCCATGGACATTTCATCAGTTCACATAAATAAAATTTGAAATAAGTATCTAACACGGCCTTAAGATGTTCATTAAAGGAAAAGGACAGCAGCAAAACCAGCCTCAGCATGAATTCCCTGACCTAGTCCCTATCAGACAGGAAGGAGCTGAGGAAGGTAGCATGAACGGGCACAGCAATGTCAGGAATACAACAGCCCTGCAAAAAATCTGGGGCTTAGAAAAGATACTACCAATACTCTCAGCCTAAATGTTGTATGGATCTGTTTTAGAACAGTCTGTAAGGCTGGAAAAGGTATACTAGGCATTGCCCTCTCTGCATCCTCCACTGCACCACCTGCCCATCTCCCTAGCTACTGGAGAGGAATGGTGATTATTTGAAATATATCTCTCCAGTATGGCCACAGTCCTTGCCTGGGTGTGCAACCTTCAGGACATTGCCATGAGATGCTCTCAATATGAAAAGGAGGGAAGACAGATTTTTATGAGCTCTTTATTAAATACAAATATTTCATGTCATCATATGAATTACATATGTAGCAGCAGGTAAACTCCAGATAGTGCCAGCTTGATATGCAACTTCCAGAGAAATCTTTGGAGAACCCTCTCATATTAGGGGGCTGGCCACAAAACTGTATTTTTCAGATCCTGAAACTGTGCTTCCTGCATTCCTAAAGCAAAAACAAAACAAAAATGTTCCTTTGGGGTTTTTTGCATCTGTTAGGTGTCCAAAAGGACAGATCTGCAGAACAGAGAGGTATAAGGGGAAGGGTGCAGTAGCAATTGCAGTCAAGATCCACCCAGCCCAGCTAATGTGTTCTGCCAGGATATGGCAAGTCTGTTTTCTCATCTCCCATCCATAAGTACTCAAGCCTCTCTTGCTCTGCTGGAAGTGAACAAAATTTAACTTCAGGCAATTGGAGGAGACAGAACCTCAAACTTTTGTGCTGGCAGCATTTCTTTTCAACATTGAAACAGAGTGCATATATTTATGCACTCTATGCATTTGCATGAAATGCATAAATATAGGTACAAAGACCTATTTTCACCAGCATCCTATCTCTATCAAGAGATAGTAGCAAAATTTTTGAGATACTGTGTAAAAAAGCAGGAAGGACAGAATTATCTCTTTCTCCAACACACACAAGCAGATGCCTCAAATTCTCCATGTAAGCACTCCCCAAAACAAGGCCACTCTGTGTTATTGCGACCAACAGACCTAATGTCTCACCCTTTTCTGTCTTCCAGTTTCTATGTTCAGTCTCTGAAGGGGTATAATTGGAATAAATGCTGCAAACACAGGTGTCTCTTCAAAGAGCATCTAAACCACTGAGTGACGGTGAAGCTTTCAACCTAGCTTAGCACATATTTCCTTTGTAAGGGGAAAAGAGAGATAATGTCAACAACTGACATAAATCAATTCTAGTATACCCCATCTAGGGTAGGAACTCTTTCAAGGACTCATCCAGAGGACACAAAGGAGACAAAACTGGCCTCCCACACCCTGGGTAAATGCCAAGCTTTCCTGAGAAATTCCACTCTCATCACACATTGTAAACCCGGACTTTCAATTCCCTAGGTTTTGGAAGTGCTTAAACAAAAACAGCCTTTGGAAGTTTGATACTGTCTTGATGTGCTTTTATTTCTATTTTAACCTAATCTACTCAGTGGCATTGACCCAAGTTTGTAAAATATTAGAGTGTCTTAGGACTGCATAGTCAATCAATGGTTAAAAAGAAAAAAAAAAGTGAGAACAAAGAACCCCACACAAGCTTTAGTTTCTGTGGTATTTCAGAGTGCAGCACTATGAAGACAACAGTAAGTTAAACAGATTTAGTCAGCTATCCAAAGAGGCGAGATGCAGGTGGACACTTCCATTAATTCATTTTTTACACAAATAAATACTGGCATCACTAACAGGCTGAGGTTAATTAGATCATCAGAAAGTCATTAAGTCTGCAAGACAATCCCAATACAAGTACAGCTGAGTAGTAAATGTGCAAATGCATAAAACAAAATACTAAGGGTAAGAATCTGGAGCTATCTATTGATCTCAGATTCACTACTAACAGGACACACTGAATAAACACAATGGTTGCAAAGTGTTAATTCCTCATGGAGAAGAGTCCAATCCAGGAAATTTTCCTCCAGACCACTCACATGCCTGTAGAGATGCATGCCATTGACAAGATGCCTTGCTTGGAACTTCCAAAAAAATTCCCATGTTTATAACTTTATGAAAAAGAAGGGCTTGTTGCAAAGTGTTTATAGTAACGTCAATGCAGTTGCCTTATATTGAACAGGACTAGGAAACCAGGAATCAGAAATCTTAAGTTTCTAATTCTGCTACAAACACCCTGCATGACATTTTCAATACTTTCTGCCCACTTACTCATCTGTACAAGGCTACACATCTGGACTGGATGTGACTGGAACATGCTATGACATATTTAATATTGCTTAAGTACTATGAAATCCTTCTGTGAGAGATGGCAGACAAGCATACTTTTTGCCATTACAATCAACTGCAAAACTCTGTCTTCCCATAAAAATCTAAGTACTGGCAAGGACTTCTGAAGCATAACAGCATGAATTGTTCTTTATTTGATTACTTGTGTTTGAATAAAGCATGAAGAAATACCATAAATGTACAAATAGATTTAATCTAATTTGGAAGATGGATAGTTGGAGAAGCTGTTACCATGAATACAGAACATATATCAGTCTAGGACATCATTAAGAAAGAATTTCTTCTCCAGAACAACACAAAGCATTGAAAGAGAAAAGAACGGGTTTTTTTTCAGCAGCTGAAGAGCCAGGTATTAAAGTCAGGCACATGATGCAGTTTTGCCACCTTCAGCCCATGTTCTAGGAACAAGGATCCGAGTGTGAACACCTCTGTCCCTGCAGGTGCAGGCAGAGCGGGCAGGAGCTGCACCCAGCCCAGCAGAAGGATGCCAGCCCTGCAGAATGCCAGCCCTGCCAGCTGTCACCAGCACGCCAGTGCCACAGGCACAAAGGTGGTACGTACCTGCCATCAAATGGCTGCAAAAACATCTGTCGGGTTGAGGGAGAGTCAGGTCTGGACACATCTGGCACAGACATGAGATCAATTCCCTTGGAAGAGTCATTTGTTCCTGCTTCAGAGTCAGACCTCAGTCCTTCCTCAAGATCTGGGTGTTTATAACCCTCAGACACAAGGAGGCAGTCACCAGCAGGGCTAGAGTAAGACTTGCAAATACTGACACTGAGATTACAAGTGTATCCCTACCACAGGAAAACGGCTGCCAAGCTCTCTCTAGGCACTATCAGGAAACCCAGTACAAATTGTCCCTTCACAACCTTGCTTCATGTCATGTCAAAATGTTCTTGCTTGAAGGAAAGACCTTTTACAAAGGGTTCCTGCTTTCAAGCCCTTCTAGATCTTTTTTAAAAGCTTGCTGCAGGAACATTTGAAAGGGGAACTTCTTAAAAGTTATTAATTTGTCTCCATCAGGCACTTCCTGACAGTGGGATATTTGCAGACTGCTCATTTTTTTTCCTCCATTGGACTTGCTTTTGGAAATATCTTTAACTGAATCTATTTAACTGAACTCAAACCTCCATAAGAAATTTAATATCTTCACAGCCCCTATTTTCTTCAAAGGGAGCAGATGACCAATTAGGATTGCTCCCAAAACATGGAGCCCATTCTGCTCCTCCCTACCAGTGAGAGTTCTGCCTTCACATCCAGTACAACTGGTATGCTCCAGATGAACCCCAGGGTGTCTGTCACACACTCACAACCCACATGGTGAAAGCCTGCACCTGGAGGCTCCAGAACAAGGAAGGTAACATTACTACTAAAGTCAATCAGATTATACATGCTGCATGTGACACTGGCAAAGCAGACAAAAGTAAAGCAAAATATTGTATGGTGTCTCTGCATCAGACGTAAAAACTGCCTTCATACCTTTTTATACAATACTTACACACCTTGAACTGTCTTATCCACATGAAACTAAGAATGGTTTTCTTTGATCCTAAGCAGGAGTTTACATACATACCTTTCATCAAAATTGATGCAAATGTGATACCATTTCAGTTTCACTGTTTTTAAAAAGTTAACACAGTACATGAATTTTGGCTTCCTTATCTTTTCACTACTTCACACTTACCTATCAGTCCAGACATCATTATTCTTAATGTATCTGTACAGTTACAAATTAAACACTTCTCACTTTACAAAAGCTCCCATAACAGCTCTAACACATCCTTACATGCTTTTGCACAAAAACTCTCCACTTCAGTCACATCTTTTTCCAGAAGCGTGACTTGACACTGAAAAATTAAGTCCATTAAGCATCTGAGAATGTACATGGCATCAAAATAATTTCATATTATCCATGGTCTGTGCCTGCCCTTGTCCTCTACAGTTCACAGGGTGCTGCCCACGCAGTCTCCTCTGCCTACTTCCCATCTACACTAAGCAACAACCATATGTTTATTAAGAACATTCCCCTAACACTCTTTTGTCCTCACAACAACAGCAGCAGCATATTCCAGGGCTGATACTCTACTAAAAGGAGAAGGCATAAACACCAAGGAGAAGGGTTCTGTACAAGACAGCCAACTGCAACAAGCAATCACCCACTCCACGAATGGAATTCTGGGGTGAAGCTGTAAACTGAACTCTTAAATCTCTAGCCTAACATACAAAAATGAGAAAAAACATGCTAGGAAACAGATATTCATGCAAAAGGGACAGGATGGAAACCTGTATTTCTTTCAAGGGAAAAGGATTTTTTTTTTTTTTTTTTTAATCTGCATCCAACACCTAACTGCAGTATGTGGGAAATGGATTTATAAGGCACTTTTAAGGGCAGATGGTACAGCCTTTCCTTCTGCAAGTAGGGAAAAGTAAAGAAATGACAGGAGAGGCAAAACCCACGTGGGAAGTGGTTGTGCCAGGGCTGAATCATAGATGGAACTGAAGAAAGCCTAGAAAAGAAATAAAAAAGGAAAGCACAGAAAGAAAAAACATTTTAAAAAGAGAACAGGAATGCAGCAGCCAGGGAACTGGAAACTATTGCAAATCATGAAATCAATAACGCAGAAAAGAGAGAGGAAAGCCATCCTAAGCCAAGAAGGGAGGAACAGCAGGCCAGAGCAAGGCTGGGAGGAGGAGGAGGAAACCAGGTCAGAGCCGTAGGTGGAGAGAAGATTATGTGGCAGCTTGAAGATAAGGTTAAAGAGCTTGAGCTTCAGGCAGCAAGGAGATGAGGAGCTGAAAAAGCAATCCAAGGTAGAGAAGACATAGCTGTAGCAATGAGAAAAGGTGGCAAACTGTACCTTCAGGACAGTGAATGGGAAGGCAAATTGAAACAATACAAAAGAAAACTTAAAAATAACCCCACACCCATAACAGAAAGGCAGTCATCATCCAGACTCCAGAAGCTGATCTGAAAACTGCAGGAACATTTTTGGAGCCAGGACTGATGTTCTGAAATGAACCACTGCTCAGAGAGTTTCTTTTGCTCACTTCATCCCCTGCCACAGCCTTTCATCCAGCTTCCTGCCTTCTCCCAAGCTATCCCGAGCTCACCCCTGCACAGCCTTCTCATGACTAAGAGACTGCAAGGAACAGCACCCATCTCCTTCACAGTTTCTCCCTTGACTTCAATTAGCATCAGAGAGCTCTCACTGGCTTTGGCACCATCTGATTTTTTTTTTTTTTATGAGTCACCCTCCCTTCTGCAAGAAAGGAATAAACCCATGAACAGAGATGCAAGTAAGAGTGGGGCTGAAGCACACATGGTCTTCTCAGTTGTCTCAAAGCAGGCAATGAGCTTTCTTGCTCCTCACCAGGATCCTGGAAATTGTCCAGCACCTCCCAGACACTTCTCAGGGTGGGGTGGGAGGAAGAGGTACTGGCAATTTCAGCATGAAAACCAGACAGCTCTGGGAAGCAAGAGAAAGCAAAAATGGCCTCAATCCATGGAGAAGCAACATGTGTTCCTTCCTCCATCATCTGTTCTGCTCTGCATTGCACAGCCTCGTACAGATGCCACAGGCAGGTGGCACAGGCTTACCAAAAGCAGTTGTATACCTTCACTGCACCTGTGGAGCAGGTCACACCACAGTGTGGGGCAGGGGGACCTGCAGCTGATGTGTCTCAGCACAGCAGCACAGGAGCAACAGAACTGCAAAGTCTCTGCAAACACACACACAGCAGGCACAAGTATTTCACCCTGTGCCATTGCCCAGCACCCACCTTTCCCAGCACTTCACCACTGTGGATGGCTATCACAGAAATAAATGCATATTCACAAGCTATTCTTAGCGTTCACCAGAGAGGCGATTACCAAATTACCCAGTTACATAATCTCTTTTATATAATCACTACGATGCTTTTCTCCTTATGCAACATGGACAGTGACCATGGCTGGCTGAAGCAGCTGCTGCTCCCCCAAGGAGAGCTACACCAGCAGCTCCGTGGGTGGGCACAGTGCTGCACACTGCAGGTGCACAGAGGAGTGACACCAAGGGCTGCTTCAAGGCAACCAAACTTTTCAGTGTGTGTGCCTTCAGCCCAGGGCAGACACCACCATCCCTGCCCACAGGGCTCCACAAGCTGCACAGAGCAAAAGTCACCTGCACCTCAGGCTGGTTCAGACAGCAAAACCAAAGGCACCCAGCACCCTCCAGGCAGCCTGTGCCAGCACTCATTGGAAGCAAGTGGGATGTCTCCATTGACTTTTAATGGCCTTTGGACGGAGCCCAGGATTAGGGCTTTAATAAAAATAGGAAGTCAAGATTACTACAGAATTAAAACAAGCTTCATCCAAATCCCCCTGGCTTTGTGCCACAGCTGTGCCTATGGTTTTTGTCCACAAGGAAAAACAGGTGAAGCTGCAACCTAAATGTGTTCCCACAGGATGCCTTGTGACAGGCATACACGCACACAGAGCTGGCAGTGTGGGTCAGCACAGCCATGCCAGGAAGTTTCACCAGCAAGGTTTTGGGCATATTCAAATGTGTCTCCTACAACATTTTCAGGATCCCTTGCAATGCCTTCTAGGAGCACTGAAGATACCTGTTCAAATGATTGCCACATACACGGTATAGTGAGACCCAACTTGCTAATATTCACCCTGGGCTTTAAGGAGTCAGCAACAGAAGTATTACCCACAGCACATGAAAAAACAAATCTAAGACCTGGATTTCAGAAAACAGAAGCTCCAAGATCTACACATCAGCTGCAGATTCTGAAACACTTTTCTATCACCATGCTGCAAATTCAGCACTAAGTTCAGCTGGTTGCATGGTGCTGGCATTATGCGAAAGCCCCAAACTGCCTTAGGTTTTCCTCAACATTATGCAACTTATAGTATCTGGCTATTATTAGGCACTTATGCCTCTCCTGCTCCCTAGCTTCCCTAGAAATACAGGTCATCCTAAGAAAAATGCAGGCATACACATGCAGCCTTAGAGTAGCACTGTAACATACTTTATGCAGGGACACATGCACACACGTTTACGAACAGAGACCGCTATTGTTTCAACTACAGGAAAAAAAAATAAAAATGAAGCAGCCTAACGTTATCTTACGCTATCTCAAACTGCAGGATGACCCAGTTCTGAAGAGTTTAAACCTAATCCCATATGCTATTAGTATTTCTGTATCACAGCCAAGAGATGTGAATTGCTTTAGTCAAGAAGCAGATCAGAGCAGAACTGGGGTCCCTGATGCAAAACCCCACTGCACAGGGTGCAGCACATCATGGCAGCACTGCTTGATAGTTCAGGCTCAGCAGGCATCCTCTGCACCACTGCTGCTCAAAACACTGAAAATCATGGTTATCTTTACTGATAAATGTTTGGATAGGCAAGACAGCACTCAAGATAGGAGCCTCTTATGTCAGCCTGAAAAAGAAAAGCAGACCTCAAAAAAGTAGATTTAGAACTTCTTACACATCCATCCTCCCCCTCCTTTATTTTTTTAGGTTAGACAATTGTCTGACTATTTGAAAGCAGCGTGTTCCATGTGTCCTCTCTTTTGGACTGAGATTCTGCCAAACTTAATGGCACTTGAACAACTGAAGGTGGACTTTTACACCCATTACCCTTGTAATAGGTTAAACCCCTGGCTCCAATTGCAGCAGGGAAATAAGGCCCTGAGCTGTGAACTCGCACTGTAAGAGAGCCAGCAGCAAATTCCTGGATCTCACTTACACCAGTATTGAGAGAATTATCTGTAGCAATAAGCGATGTATTTTTCCCCCACCCGAGGAGCAGAAATGAAAGAAAACACTTTCTTGACTCATCCCTGCCTGGTTTTTGCATCAAAAGCTGAAGCACTTACAGTCACCCACCAACAAGTCTGAGAAACACCACATTTACAGAAATAATTTACATTTACAGATATAATGAGGAAATCAGAAAAGAATTCACTAAGTTAACAGGTTTTCTATCCATTTTAGTGAAGAGATTTAACAAAACTGGGAGAAACAAAACACTGAGCAACACCTGAGCAATTCCCCAGGTAGAGACCCTTACACTGTCTGCTGTCATATCACCATGTCTAAACAATGCTGCACAGTTGGATATCAATCTCCTGTTTTGACACTAAAGGGACTGTGCCAAAACCAGCAAGGTATAAACACCTGTCTTCTCTAGCTAGACAAGGAGCATAACCTGTCCAGAAAAGGAGAAAAACTGACTCCGACTAGGACACATGGAAGAATTTTTTTGGTTTACCTACACCCATCAGACATGCATGCAGCAAGACACAACTGTGCCAGCCAAAACACCCCAAGTCCTCAGCCATTCAAAAGAAACCCATCTTTGCTACTACACTCATTGATTTTATTTTTCTTTGCTGGTATATGTTCCCTGACAGAGCTCCTAGTTTATTGCCAACCAAACCCTCTGGATCACAGGCACACTACCTGCTCTTAACCCCATAGCAGCACAAGCCTGTCACTCTACACTGCTGGCAAGACCAAGCTAAGCAGAGTAGGTCTACAAAAGCATCATGCTCCCTTGGGTGTTAGTGCCCCTGACTGAAGCCCAAAAAGATGAACATGCACAACAAAATGCTCCTCTCACATCAAGTATAACACGTGCTACCCATCGCCTTCAGCCTGCTATCTGTGAGATCCCTGCCACCTTCCCACATGCTCATGTTCCTCTCATACTAATTTCATTTCAGGATTCTCCACTTCTTCATACTCCCAGGGAAGATCCAAACAGACTGGAATGCATGTAATTAGAAAGGCATAAGAAAACATAAAATGTAATTACCTTAGAAGGACAAATCTTTAGAGGTATTGGCTACATTCCTGGAGTCCGCAGCCCTCACATCTTATTCCAGCAGCATAAGACCTTGGAAGGAAGGATCCATCCTGAAAACTATTGCCAGCTCTTTAGTTGCCTGATGCCTATCAATGTCAGAGGTGGGAGACCAAGCCAGCTGGCACAATATCTTTCCTACTCCAGCTGGAAACAGTGAGCTGCTTATAGAGGGCTCGTGTGCAGCCAGGACTGGAGTCTAGGTACGCTCCCATCACCCTGCTTCATCACCCTTCACAAATGGCCACTTTCCACTCCTCTGGAAACTTCCTCTGAACTTGGAAACTAAGGCCTAAATCACTTCACAGTCACTTTCAATGAAAGACCAAGGTTTTTTTAGACCTCCAAATGAGAGAGGTGGAGTGAAGGGTGCAGCAGAGGAGTGCTGTGTTTGTAGTTACCCTTGGCTGGACTTGAGGACAACAGTCCCTCCTATGCTGCAACTGATGCTGAACCTTCCCCAGAAGTACAGTCTCCATCCATGACCCTCTCCTGCCCCACACATGGAAAAGACTGGGGAGGCCATCAGCTCCTGCTTGAGCACTTCTGCTCTGAGAGACACGTGGCAGGTGACTTGAGAAAATGGTAAGACTAAGTTTTCCAGAATAGTATCTAATGGCATCTTTCCGGCAAAGGAAAAAAATAAAAATCACACTCTGCTAGTTTCCCTTTCTAGCAGAGCACAGAAAAGATTTCCATGATTGCCTTCCACTCCAGTAGAAATGCAGCATCATCTAGGGACACAGTTTACCAGTGGATGTGGCTGTGTGAAGTTTACCATTGGACTCAATGACCTTAAAGGTCTTTTCCAACCAAATGGATTTTATGATTCCCATTAGGAGAGATCTAATGTATTGAAACAAGAAGTGTGCTACCAAAATGAGCAGTCATGCTCCAAGCCATACATTCTCTCTCCTCCCTTGCAGCAAGTTCCATGATGCTATACCAAGGCACAAACCTCTGCTGAGCCAATGGAAAACGATCCCCTCTCACATTTCTCCCCCAGACCCTTTTTTGTGGCTTAGTCATTCATAGCATCAGTGGGTTGATATGATCCTTTAGTGGTCCCAGGGTCACTAGAGCTGCAGGAGCTGCCAAAAGCAGGGATTAGAGACCACCAGCAACAACCCACACCTTCACTACATGAGATACAGATGAGAAACCACTTCTTGCTAGTTCCTGTCCTTTAAAATATTTACCAGACTGAAAGCTGAGTCACTGAGAAAGAAGGAAGAGATTTTTAGTTGAGCTATTTAAAACACAGGTGTAGCTAACACCTATTTAGCATGAAGTTGGAGACACACTTCTGAAGAAAGACATTTTTAACTCAGCAGTGATAACTCTTCCATTTAATATGCGAGAAACCTGTCAAGATATATTGTTCTCAAAAAGGAAAAAACCATTCAAAAAACCCAGATTGTCCTCTCATGCCCTTCTGAAATACCAGGCATGGCATTTCATCTCATATCTTACTGTTCTGGTATCAGGAAAGTGATAATATCCACTATTTAAGACCTTAGCTTTCTTGTCTTTAAATGCTATTTAATGCCCAAGATCCCAGGCTGCGTCCCCAGACTTCAGACAGACCTAAGATTCCTTTCCCAAAAACCACTATTCAAGCAAACCAAAAAAAAAAAAAGCTTGTAGAAAGGCTTTGCCTCTTGCTAGTCCAAAGAGAGTTTATATGTTTGCCATAACAAACTCTAACAGGATTTCAACAAAACCTTCAGCAAAACAAACTCAGCTGCATTGCTGAGCATACAAAGCAACACAGTGCCGTCAAAAATTAGACAAAAAAAGTAAAATATGCTAGCTTTATGTAATGTTTTTTCATATGGATTTTACTTTTTATATCACAACAAATTTGCAGTAAATTTGTAGCCACCTTGCCCCAGTAAGATATATTTCTAAATATTTTTTTAATTTATTTATTTTAAATTCTGTAGCATAAGCTTAAGCATTAATCTCTTTCTGCCTGTAATTCAGTGTACACTGATGACCAGAGCAAGCCTCTATATGGGCATAGTCATTGCAGTTTTTCTAAGCCTCTTCTTACTGGAGAAAACCAAAATGAATCTGTACTAAACCAAAGAGTTTCAACTGACCCCTTTCTTTTTTACTGATTTTAGTTAAATCCATTTTAAAAGAGCACCTGAAGTCTAAGGGCTTGCTTTGGCCAAGTTTAACCTTCCAGCCACCTGCATTAGCTGAATGGAAAGTGGCAAGAGGAAAAAGAGTCAGACAACTTCCCTTTTATGAAGAAAGCATAACAGAAAGTGCTAAATATTTTTGACTGCCGTAAGAAAATATAAACCGATTTTACAGATGTTTCTTCTAATTTAAACAAAAAACCCCCACACTAACCAAGCCCAAAGAACCCCATTTGCACCTCCTCTTAGGAGATGCAAATGGCAGTCGGCCACCCATTTCCTACCCACCACCAACACGAATCTGTCTCCTCCTCAGCAGGAGCAAAGTGAGAAAAGTGTGTGAGCTCAGTCCTCCCGCCTGGAAATCACAGCCCATCTCGCTGCTGTCAAGAGGCAGGGGAGGCTTGCCAGCACCAGTTGGATCTCCAAACTATAAATCCTAAGAAAGCTCTTTCCTGCCTTCACTCAGCAATGCAATAGCTGCTTTGCAACCAGCTGCAGGAGGGTAAGGGAAAAAACCCACCAGAAATTGTTTAAGCTGTTAAATCCGTTATGTAACCAAAACCAAAAGGGAGGAGAGGGTTAGTGGCCACATCTACACTAACAACTGTAGCAGAATTTTTGGGATAGAGTTTTCCCCTTATTTCCCCCCAGCCCCCACGGTGTGGTATTTGCTGGGGTCCCCGGGACAAATGAGGAATTGATGAATCTGACTCCATGTTCTTAGAAGGCTAATTTATTATTTTATGATATATTATATTAAAGAAATGCTATACTAAAACTATACTAAAGAATAGAGAAAGGATCTCACAGAAGGGTTAACAAGAATAATAATGAAAACTCATGACTGCTTCCAGAGTCCCAACACAGCTGGACGTGATTGGTCATTAAGTTAAAACAATTCACATGAAACCAATCAAACAATGAGCAGTTGGTAAACAATCTCCAGACCACATTCCAAAGCAGCAAACATAGGAGAAGCAATCAGATAATTATTGTTTTCATTTCTCTCTGAGGCTTCTCCGCTTCCCAGGAGAAGAAATCCTGGTGAAGGGATTTTTCAGAAAATATGACAGTGACACCACTGAAAGAACACGAGTTAAAATATCAACAGGGCAGTATCCACAGTATTCCACAGAGAGGGACAGCTCAGAGACAACACTGGTGTGCATGCACATTTCTACATTGAAGGGTACATACACTCTTACAGTCCTTTATATAAAGGAAAACCTGACCACTAATGGATAGGAAAAAATACCAGAAACGGGGGAGGGGAGGATGTAGTAATCCTCACAAATTCTTGAACTCCACCTGTGCCTACCATGATTAAAATGTGTAGGTTTTTTCTTTAAGACTGGGGGTTTTCCTCATCTTAACGTTCTTGTTCCTACAAGGATTAAAAAAACAAAGCCCAAACAAAAAAAAAAAAAAAAACCCAAACACAAACAATCAAACTAAAACTAGAAACAAACCTCTTCAGGAAGGACAGAAATTTTTGGTTTCTCTGATTTGATAAAATCTCTCCTGTTGAAGCCCACTAACAAAAATAATACTAAAAAGCTCAACACATCAGTTAACCAACTGAGGAGTACCAGCCAACTTTGCTTTTACTTAAACAAATCTTGTATGACAGACTGTCGGGAGTATTTGAATTTTCTTTCAAGATAACACATTTTGCTGTTCCTATGACATGTCCATTTTCTTTTTAAAAAAGGCACTTGACTCTTGCGTAGTATCTTTCATCTGACAAATTAACAAGAAGACTCTACTGATCACTAGATTCTCCTGGATACAATATAGTGGCCAATCAGAGGTTTAGGCATCTAAAATTACTCAACAGCTTTGAAAGTTGAGGCTACCCAACAAGCTTCTCTACAGCAGCAACAATAAAACACCATTATTACCACTGCAGCACAGACAGGGTCCTCTGTCAGCCTGCAACAGCTCTGTTCGGCTTCCCCATCCTTGAGCTGAGCTTCAGGTATTGAGCTCTCCTCCATCCAGCACTTCTACAGCTTGTGAGAGAAAGCAAGCACTCAGTCTGAGAAGTAAGCCCCACAGAGACACTGGTGTCCTCATTCAGGCTGAAAATAAGCTTGCTTCATCAGGGGGTGGGGGGACTGTTTAGTTTTATTTTTTCCCCATTCCAAAGACATCACTATTCATTAAAGTCACATTTAAGCTCAGACAACCAAAGCCCTTGGGATCACTGATAAAAGAGAAGCAGAAAATCTTGATATATATGCCCCAAACAGTCATCACTTCAAGAACCTCTTCAAATCTTTCTATAAAACTGAGACAAAATGCAGTCCTGTCGTCAGAACCACAAGCCAAGCTAAGCTAGCAAGCAAGACTACTGGTTATTTATGAGTGCAGAAATCATATATCCCAGTACTGTGGGTATACCAGTCATCCAGGCTCCTGGTGAAAAAGGGCATTTCAAGCAACTGCAGTTAATAACACAGTGCTAGCTCCAAGTAGCCAAATTAATTTGAAAAAGACAGATAACGATTCAACAGTCTTCATTTCTTCCTACGGGAACCAAAATTACCTGTCAAATTGTCCACCTCATTTTACCTTACTTGCTAAACTGTTCAACTGCAATTAAGTCATGAGCAAAACACATGACATCTTTAGCTTTTCTCCCCTAATAATGTCTTCTCAGAGCAGAGCTTTCTGGGTCCTGGGGTTGGAGATTTTTCTTCCACCATGGTCTTTGTGGTTGCAGTGAAAAAACCCTTGTCACACAAGGAAACTCAAAATTAATTCCCCTCTCCCACCATCACAGTGCTCTGGGTGTGTTTCTGTAATTAGCACATCTCAAGCTTGTCTAGAACAAGGAGAGGCATTTTAGCACCAAGAGCCAGCAATTTCTTATGTGTAAATCCTGCTTTGGTGGTGATGCCTTTAGTCACCTTCATGAAACCAGCCACCAGCATATGGAAGCTCCTTCCCCTGCCCCTCAAGCCGCTCTTCTGCATCTTCTGCCTCTACATCAGGAACAGCAAACCCTCACCTGCTCGTGGGAGACTGCCACAGCCAGCTACTGACTAGGCTTCAGTCTGAAAGCCACCAACACACACAGTGCCCACATCCAAACTCACACCCACCATGAACCTGATGTACACTTAACTGTGAAGGAGTTCATTCCTTTCATCAACATAACCAGAAATAGTGGTTTTGCAATACACAAACATTTTACAAGTATTTTGGGTAATCTACTCAAGGAAAACCTAGCTAGAACCAGTAAACTACTGCATAGTGCTCTGACAGACTAAATGGGTTCCTCCCCACAGTACCTGGGTAATAGTCAGAGCCTTTTGCAAAATGATGAATGAAAACCACATTTCTCAGCTCATGCTCTGTTCAATAATAACTAAGGTCATGTTGAAGCTGCAAACAGATTTAAAACAATTGCAACGATGTTATTTCAGATAATAACCAGCACAGAACTTTGTGCAGAAGACAGTGAAAAGTTTCATGCACCAAAAACCTTCAAAACAACCAGATGTCTCCGATTAAGTTATTTAAACCCCCAGCACTCTGTTTCTGGGCATGTAGAATACAGCCTTATTTACAAAGCCATCTCATTTTAATAGGCAACCTAAGAACTTCCAAGACAGAAAAAAAAAATCCACAAAACCAGATGGCAAAACAAGCATTCAAGATTAAAGGAAAAAGGGGGGGGGGGGGGGGGGGGAGGGAAACCCCACAATTAAAACCAGTAGAAAAGATTAAATAACAGCAACACTGCCTAGATCCAATGAGGATTTATGCAAATTACTTTTTTCAGGCACGAATGATCTTTTTCAGCAGAATACACGTTAGGAGAGCAGACACATCTAATCAAAGAGATCCTGGAGGGGTGAAACCTTTCAGCGTCTCAGATGAACACAGTCCCTGAGGGAAATGGTGGTGTTTGTTTCATTTAATCGACATTTTGCTATTCCTGCTTTCTGAAGAGCTGCTGTGGAGTTAAGAGCAGTTGAGGGCTAGAACCAAGGCCAGGTTTACAGCCGGGGAAAAGAGATGCAAATCAATTAACCTGTAAAGAGTTACACTTATTTACATTAAGCGATGATTTTGATCTGAGTGTTTTAATGGCATGATGCTGGATGGCACAGTGGGCAACACACCAGAAACCATTCATCTACGTAGGTGGCATAAACATGTAGTAAACATCATTTGCATGAATTATATCCATTACCAAAAGCAGCAACTACACAGCGAGCACTCCTGTTTCCATGTATGGGTCTGGTGGCATGCCGTTTAAAAAAAAAAAAAAATTCATTTTCCTGTCTAAACTGCTCTATCACAGAGGCAGCACAGCCCTTTCACCTCTCTGACACTTTCAGCTACGTTGCCTCTGGGCTTTATGAGCACAGAGGTGCGCCTAAGACAAGCCCACGGGTGTTTCCGAAGTCAGCCCGGCACGCTGCCACCGCACGAGTGCCGGCGGTGACCCCCGCACGCTGCCAGAGCCGCCCCCGGGAGCGGCACATGGCAGCGCGCCCGCACGGCTCTGTCCCGGGGGACACTGCTGCCCCCCTGCCCGTGCCCAGCCCCAAGGGTAAACCACAGACCGAGAACAGCTCGCCCCCAGAAAACAGCTGCCCATCCGCCCGATGAAATAAAGAGCGGCTTTCCCAACCCCCTGATCCAGCGTCATCCCAGCCCACCGGAGGGAGGTTTAAACTAGGCGATCTTTAAACTATTCCATGATTCTAGAACTGCGCGGCACAAATCTCCCCTCCAATTAATGAAAGCTCCTAATTCACTGCTTGTTTGGTTGTTGTAAGTACGAAAGCTGCGCTATCCAGGTTTTCCCAGAAGTTTAACCACGCTGCACGGTGCCGCCACGGCTCCCCGTGAAATGATGCCGCCGCACCTACCTCGCAATGGACACTTTGCCCAGGAAATGAAAATAAGAGGATAATGAAAATAAGAGATGAGCCTTCCGTCTAACCCTTACTGACAGGCTTTGCGTCCCCTGGACAGTCTGTCAGTCTGCTGGGAATGGGTAGCTCGCAGCAGTTCGTGTCCCTGGGTACAGGTCCCGTGTTACTCTGCTCCATCACACCGCGGACGATCCTCCTGTGCTCCAGCAGTGAGACCCCGGACCCCCGGCGAGCCCGGCCGCCGCGAACGCCCGTGAGCACCGCGCCCGCAGCCGCGCCAGGTCTCACCCAGCTCGGCCCCGCAGCTCCCCAGCACTCCTGACCGCGCACCGCCTGTGGAGCCGAGCCCATAGGCAAAGACATTAACCCCAAAATAAATCACATCCCGCGCACGGCCCCGGCCGGTGCGGGCTGCAGCCCCACTCGCCAGCCGCGCAGCTCCAGGTCGCGACCGAGGGCGGAACCCCGCGGGTGAACCCGGGGCTGCCGCAGGCGCCGCTGGGCAGGGCAGCGCTCCCCTCACGGCCCACCTCACCTCCCACAGCAGCGAGAGCAGCAGCGCGACCCCAGGGTGGAAGCGCTTCATCTCTCCTCCTCCTCCTGTTCCTCCTCCTCCCGCGGCGGCGGCGGGCTCGCCCCTCCGCCTCAGGCGCGCACGGGCGCTGCCAGCCGCGCCATCCCCGACGGCGGGGAGCTCCGGGCGGCAGCGCGCACGGCGGGCTCACAGCAGCCGGGGGAGGCGGCCGCGAGTAGCCCGCACCGGGGGCAGAGGAACGAGGCGGGGTAGAGCGGCGGTGGGGCGGGGAGGGAGGCGGGGAAGCCCCGCAGCAGGGCGAGGGCGGGCTGACCCGCTGATCCCCTCAGCGACAGCGGCGGCGGCCGGAGCCCAGCGAAGCAGGGTCGGGGCTAGGCGGAGACCGCCGGGTGCGGGGGCAGGCGGCACAAAGAGGCCGAACGCCGCCGCCACTGAGGGCGGGCAGAGGAGCGGCCCGCCCCGGCCCCGCCCCGCGGCCCCGCTCCGCGGCCCTGCCCGGCCGGGAGGGGGCGGTGGTGGCGGATCCGTGACCCCGCGTTTGCTCCCGCGTTTGCTCCCGCATCCGCCCCTGCCCCCGTACCTGCCCTCTGCCCCATCTCCCCCTGCCACCGCCCCCGCATCTCCCCCTGCCCCTGCCACCGCCCCCGCACCTGTTCGCGGGTCGCCCGTGACCACGACACCCCTTCCCCAGAAGAGCCATCTTTCTTCTAGAGTGAATCCAGAGGAGGCAGCAGAGATGCTAGAGGGCTGGAGAATCTCTCCTACGAACATTAAAAGAGTTGGAGCTCTTCAGCCCAGAGAAGAGAAGGTTCTGGGGACACTTTAAAACAGCCATCTGGTACCTAAAGGGGGTTATAAGAAAGATAAGGAAGGATTTTTTACCTGTAGCAATAGACCAATGGGCAATGATTTGAAACTGAAGGAGAGTCGATTTACATTGGACATGGAAGAAATTTTTTGCGATGAGTTTGGTGAGACACTGGAACCATGTTGCCCAGGAGATTGTGGATGCCCTGTCTCTGGAAGCGTTCAAAGCTGGGTTGGATGAGGCTTTGAGTAAGCTGGTCTGGTGGAAGGTGTCCCTCCCCATAGAATAATCTTTGAGTCCTTTCCAACTCACATAATTCTGTGGTTCTGTGATTCTATAAGGTGCTTTCTCTGCCAGCCTGGTGAGTGGGAACATGAGCTGTGTGCCCATGCGGTAACCTTTGGCATTTCAAGAACAGGTCTGGTCCTTCATTTCCTCAGCATGCTTGGTAACAGCCCTGGGATATCTACATGTAAAGGTCTCATGACAAATCCTAAACCGGAGTGGAGGTACTCTGCAACTCCAGTACTGATCTCTCCAGCTGCAGGTGGCTGGTGTAGTTATGCCTTGGGTGTTTCCTTCACCATGACCATCTTGTCCTGGTACTTTGAGCCTCCTTTTCCAAGCCCGTTGCACCCTTACCAGAGCTGGACACTGTATGCAGTTGGAGGAAGGCACAGCTCTTTTCTGAGTTTAGGAGGATTAGAGGTCTCTTGTTTTGTAGGTAAGCTAGCAACCTACTCCTCCCTCAGGGGAAAATCAAAAGAGATAAGGGGGAGAACTGCCCCATTTCCCTTTGAATGGCAGACCTTTCCCAGTAGCATTTCTGAAGGAGATACACCTCCCACTGTCCTTTTGTGGGTTACCTATTAAAAAACTACTAGCACATCCTCACAACTCACACCTTTGTTCACCACTGCCCTGTCATCATAGTATTCAAGCAGGAAACTTGCCATCTCCATTGCAGCAAAACATCATCAGCTGGTTATTTTTTCCATACAGTGAACTTTGAGTGAGTTTACAAGTATCTTCCAGCTGGCACCATTAATCATACGTCCTCTGAGGCCCGGGTCATGTGCTGTAAGTAAGGGGTAACTGTGTACAGGTTCCTGCACACTGTATGACAGTGCATACTCACAGGCAGCCTGCACAAGTGGCCACTCATTTTGATGCTTATTTTTGTCTCTGTTGGATGCCAACCAACCAGAAGCTCTGAGATGACTTTTTCAGAGGAATACTTATGTCTCTAGTTCAATTTGCTGGAAGGTCCCTAAGGAAATGTCATGGCCATCGCTTTGTCCAACAGTGAAGTCTGAATAAGGCAATTATACACACAGGTGTCTATATAATCTGAGTTGAAAAGTTGCACTTTCTTACATCTGGCATATTGAGAAAGACACATTCTACACTGGGTATCACCTCAGAGGGATCAGCTTATATTGTCTCAACATAACTATTCAAAGTCAGGCATCACTTCCAAAAGGCTCCAATTTGTAGAAGTTTGAAAAGGATGGTTTTCAGAGCTCTGTCCTGATGTGTGGCTAACCCTAAACTCCCTTCCCATTCCTAATTTCTGTGTTGCATGACCTAGGAGACAGCGTTTTGGAGACACTCGATGACTCTTCATAGAGAAGATGCAGAAGAGCATAAAGATGTTTAGGGACATCAAATGAATCTGAATGTCAGCGCTGAGCACAAGTGCTCTGTGCCACTGCTGTGTTTCCAAGGGTGCTCTGGCAGCCCACAGACAGGCAGAAATCCTGACAGCACAAATTCTGGGAGAACTGAGAAAGTACTAAGGCATAAATAAAACTTAGGAAAGAAGTCTGGAGTCTTGCAGCTTAAGACACTACCACCCTCGAAGGCTGACCCTGCCAGAATTTTCAGCTGATGGCCCACTATCAAATGTGGCCAGGCAAGAGCAAGCTCTAAAATGCATTTCAGTTAATTATTAATACACATATAACTACTGACTTTAGTTTGAGAACTAATAAAGTGTTAGAATTTTTTTTTCTCAAAAAAAAAAAATCAGCTAAGGCAAGAAAGGCTGAAATAATCAACAGCTTTTAATCGATAGACAGATTGGCAAGAGTGAGATTGAAGAAGCAGTGGGCTGGAGGAAGAGGAAGCTGCCCAGTGTGGAAGCATGTGCTTCCCAGTGCATGGTTTATTATCCAGCCTAGATAAAGGTATGGATGTTCCATGTTATAAAATTCTTTCCAGGCCAACATAAGCTGAAAAAGGAAAACATCTCCTGACCTCAAAATAAACAGTTTCATGTTCTGTTTCAGCTCCCCTTAGCAATGTCTTCTTTCATTTATACCTAGCTTCAAGAAGCCATCTTCATCCCCAGGGAAAGCCCATTAGCTTCAGTGGAGTTCAAATACAAATGAGCTTGGCTCAGCATGTGGCATTTTCTCAACAGAAGTGTGAGCTGCAGCAGAGCCCCTTAGAGCTTGTCTAGGCAAGAAATGAACACTTTCCCTCCACCCTGCTGCAGCTTGATGGCGAGGCAGCTTGACACAACAGAGAAACAAGATAAGGCTTTTGTGGGAGGCAAGGTACCTAGCTAAAAAAACCCAGCCCCTTCTTTCACATCCTGATTCTAGTGTCTCTTCAGTTACTGTGTTCAAAAAGCTTAAAACTCCAAAGCTTCCAGAATCTCTGTATAGAAACAAATATATATACTTTAAAATGAAATAAAATCATTTCAGGAGCAGTAACAGTAACAAAGCTTTGTTTTACCGGATTGAGGCTTATAGTGCAGCTGAAATATTCATAATATGCTGCTTCTCTGTGGAATCTTAGGTGTTCCTCAATAATATTGCCTTAATTCTCTCACCAGCAATATTGCCAATATTAACATATTTCTTTTACTCAGCTACCTCTCTTTCCTGAAACGTAAGAGCATACATTATTTTTTGAGACTGCCACTCCTTTGTCAATTTTTCTTTTTCAAACTGAGTAACAGGTATAAAAATTCCTAGGGAGCACTCATAGTGTATATGGATGTGTGTATTTTTTGTAGACCTTATTTTTTTCAACATTTGAATATTTTTAAATAAGTAAAAAATAAACTGGTTATATTGAACAGAATCCTTGTTTCTGTTGAAACAGTTGTGTTGTTTCTAATACTATTGAGAAATACTCAATTCCACAAGGGCTGTGTGTGAAGCAGGTAACCACTTTATTATGAACAAACAAATACATTATTTTCAATTGCTTCCCTGCATGAACTGCAAATAATTATGTACCTCTACAATTTTGTATTTAAAATATTTCACTACCTTCTTCACAGATTCTGTTAAAAATTAGCCCAATCCTTAATTGTTTTCCAAACTCTCTATTTTAAGTGTAGGATCACCTCAAAAATATTTTGCTAGTCTGGAGGTTTTTTTTATGATTATGTAAATGGCAATAGCCTTTATCAGTAAGTTAAAGAAACCCCTTTTAAAGTGCATAAAATATTCAGTAAATGTCTAAAGCCTTTGAAAATCATCACTGGTATCTTTTAAGAACCTACACTAACATTATTCATTTAAAAAAAAAGTAGGAAAAATATTCATGAATGCAGCAATAGCCAACCAAGACAAACACAGCATTATATTTCTGCAGTTTCCGTATCTTGTTCAAAGCAATTTGTTTATCCAGGGTGTGTTTAAAGAAAAAAAAAAACAAAACACCATTGTTTTCTAACGATCAAGCAGCTTACACAAAGGTGTAGTCTCTTGGCAGAATAATAGTTAAATTATAGTCCAATTTCCCAGAATAAAGGCTAATTTTTTTTTTGTCGTTTGCACCCATTTGCACCAGTAATTAATTATTGTGATTGACTTTAAATGGAATATGACTCAGGACTTCTTGAAGTTTCAACAATCTACTCCAAATTCAGTAGCATATTGATACCAGTGCCTCTATCTTCAATAATTATATTTCAGTAAGAGTCTGTGGAGGTTTAGAGAGATGATCCAGATGTAGTAGCCCTCTTTCCAGTGCTAATGTAAGAGTCTATACCTCCTACAACTTATTTTTTGTGTGGAAGGCTATTACTGAGCTACGTGGCACTGATTAAAAAAAATGTGCCTGATTCGTATTTTAGCATTCTATTACATCCATTGATCTTCATTAATATCTGAAAACTGCATGTAGAAGTCACTTTTCCATAACTAATGACATTAAGTACACCTCACTGAACTGAAACAGAATGGCTGCTTACTGGATTATGCTTTGAGACCTCCAAATAAAAGTCTATGGTAGCCGTAGTCACTACTACACTGGAAGTCTATGTCCACTTGAAAGAAAATATAACACATTTAACAGATATGCTGAGAAATGAAGGTGGAGTGGTTCTCTATAAGCTATTCTACCTGGGCTCCCAAAGAACAGCCCCACTGTCACACACTGTGACTTTCAGGCTGTCTTGATGGAGTCGGATATTTGTCCATCATATTAAAAAAATAACTCTATAGCAAACAGTATTTTGAGAAGCAGCAACTACAAGATAAGCATTAGTATTCTGAAGGGCAAAGTTTATTGATTAAACATACTACCCAATTCAACCAGAATAGCTGTGTCAATCAGATCAAATGTGTTTTTGTTCCGTTTTCTCAATAA